AAGGTATCACTTTAAAGAAAATATTAAATATGGAATATGGAAAAAATCAGAAATTACAAGTGAGATATCACAAATGCAGAAAAAATAAGAAGTGTATTATCTATCCTATAAAATCCTTAGTTAATGGATTATGTAACAGAGAAGAACCCCTGTGTAGGACCATATTTTAAGAATTCGCAGTTATTAAATCATTGTAAGTTTTGAATGCGTGAGGCAGTGATTTTTTTGAAGTTTGAAAAAAAAATGAAACTGTGTTCCAATTCAAATATTTACTGAGTGCTTCTTGTTTTTAATCAACTCCAGAAAATTGGTTAAAGTGGAATAGAACCTTACAAAAGGGTAAAAAATATAATTTCCTCAGCACAATCCCATCTCATTTATGAATGCAGTTGCTACCTGTTTAGACTTTTACTCCATTTACACCAGAACGCAGAGATGGGGTGCAGTCCTGCCTATCTTATTTCTAGCTTTCATTCTGAGCCCCCAGCCTGGATCAGTGTTAGGTATCCGCTACCGAGTCACTGACATTTATACTGAAAGCCATTTTAATATTGAAATGTGGGCTTCCATTCTCATAGGTGCTTCAGATCTAAATATCAGTCCATTCTCTGGCCCTCCCCAGCCACCCTCACCTCTTTCTGTTTTGCATCCTAAGTTTTATTCACCTGGGAAGAAGGCGCCCTCACTGAAAGCAATGTTTCTGAAACCTTAATATGCAGATGAACCGCCAGAGATCTTATTAAAGTGCAGATACAGAATCGGTCTCCGTGAGGCCCGGAGGAGTTCCACTGGTGCCGGCGTGGCTAGTTAGATTGCCTGACCTCCTGCTCCCGCTTGGATTTAACTGGTCTTGAATTTGGCCTCTTTCATTTGCTAATTTGACCCACAGGGCCCGTCCCCTCAGGCTCTGGGATCTGCACTCTCACAGCCGGACTGTCTCTGCCCACCCACACTGCTCTTGAGGCGGGGCCGAGTTGGGTTCTGCTCTCTCAGAGCGGCTCCCCAATCAACTCCTCAATCCACTATTCTCCGTGGCTTGTGGCTCACCCCAGTCTGAGGCATCTTTCCTTTCTCATCACGTTCTTTGTCTTCATCTGAAGAAACAACCCGTTAATGGTAGCTGAAAATTTTTCTCAGCTTGCTTTCTCCTGATGGAAAGTAGGCAGCCCAGAGGCCTTTGTACTGTCCACAAAAAATCAGTCAATCTAAGCAAAAAATGGAAAATTTTATTTGAGCCAAATTTGAGGATCATAACCCAGGAAGAACACCTTAGAAAACTGAGTTCCACCCATTAGAAATCAAGGCATGGTTATAAGTTTTTTGATCTAGAAGGCTGTACATCAAATGATGTATTGTTGACAGTTTACATAATCCAGATCTCCCGTGTCCTCTGGGCTGCACACCAGTGGTCAAGGGCTCGCTGGCGTGTGGGCAGGGGTTACCCAAACCCTTTCCAGCTGAATTTTAGCTGACATGTGCCCCTCCTTCCTTTCCCCAACCTCAACTTTACCCTTTGACAAGAGACATCAACTCTTCTATAATCTTTTCTGTTCAAGAATCTTCCTCTGCCTTGGATAGCTCATATAGAGCATTAGATGGAAAAGAAATACAGAAATATAATAGGGCCACATATATAATTTTAAATTTTCTAATGCCCTCATTAGAAAGTTAGAAGAAACAGGTGAAATTTATTTTAATATATTTAACTCCATTCTTCCAAAATATATTTAGAAATGTAATCAATGTAAAAAATCTGTTAATGAAATATTTTAGATTATTTTTGCTTACCAAACCTTTGAAACCCGACGTGTATTTCATATTTAAAACATCTTCTTTCTGGAGAGGGTATAGCTCAGCAGTAGAGTGCCTGCTTAGCATGCATGAGGTCCTGGGTTCAAGCCCCAGTACCTCCATTAATAAATTCATAAACCTAGTTACCTCCTCCTAAAAATTAAAAAAAAAGTTAAAACATCTCCTTTCTGACTAGCCACATTTCAAGTGCTCAAATGGTGTGGCTACCATATATTGACAACACAATTCTAATTTGTATTGAGAAGATCAGGAAGTCAAGCCTTCAGTTTTTCTCACTGCATGTCTTCTGTTTTCGTTAACTCTAATGAATTATAATTCACATCTAATAAGTTAGCAATTTTGAGCATACAATTCCGTGAGTTTTGACATGTATATGGTTGTGTAACCACCGGCACAGTCATGATATATAAAGGACATTTCCATCACTCTCCCCAATTTTTTTTGCAATTCATCCCTTTCTCACAGCTCTGGGCCCTGGCATCCACTAATCTGATTTCAGATAGTAGAGTTCTGTCTTTTCTAGGATTTCATATAAGTGGAATCATACAGTAACTTATTCTTGCTGTCTAGCTTCTTTCACTTCGTATAAGGCTTTTGAGATTTCTGTTGTATTTATCAGTATTTCCATTTTATTGTTTGGTGATATGCCATTATTTGCATATACCACAGTTTGTTTATTTACCAGTTAATGGTTTTATGAATTATTTCCAGTTTTTAGCTACTTCATTGCATTTATGAAGCAGAAACTCTCCCCCAAGAGAGTCATGTATATCAAGTACACATTTACCCGAAATAAATGTGTGAATATGTGTATGTTGTAGGAGATGGAATGGACCTTCAGTTAAAATAGTAAATGTTGTATCACCAAAAATTTTTTATTAAGATGTTATTTTTTTTAGAACAGTTTTAAGTTCCCGGCAAAACTGAGGGGAAGGTGCAGAGATTTTTTATGTATACCCTCTGCCCTCACACATGCGTAGATTCTCAGTTATCACCAACTGCCACCACAGTGGTACATTTGTTACAGTTGATGTACCTACATTGGCACGCTGTAATCACCCAAAGTCCATAGTTTACTTTATGGCTCAGTCTTGGTGTTGTACCTTCTATGGATTTGGACAAGTACATGAGGACATACATCACTGTATGATTCCAACTACATGATATTCCAGAAAAGGCAAAACTATAGAGACAATAAAATTATCAGTGGTTACCAGGGGTTGGGGTGTGAGTATGAATAGTTAGAGCACAGAGGACTTTTAGGGCAGTGTAACCTTTTTGGAACCTCTAGTGTTTGGGACTTTCTGCAACTTAATGGTTAGTTTCCGCAAAGCAAATCATACACCTCGGTTTAACCACATCCCTTCCCTACTGCTGCCGAGCTAACAGACCTTGTGTTCTTAAATTACATCCACACTGATGGTGTTGTACATCAGTGCACATCTGCCTTTGCTGGGGGACCAGACAGAAAAAATTACAGTGTCACACCTGCCCTCAGCCACACTGTACAGGTGCATCCTGTCCATGAGGGTCACAGCCAGGGTCAGGGATAAGTCAGTGTTTCTGTCGACTGGCTGGCTCGTCTTTGGTGGTCCAGACTAGACTTCATCTGGGCAAGCAGAGCAAATGGCTTCCAATGAGAGTGATTCAATGCTTGAATAGTAAAAATAATTAAGTAGGTAAGTAATTTAGAATGTCTTTTAAAAGTTACGTGATTGAAGACAACAGCAATATGATTTAATGACTGAAAACTTTCAAGATGAGAACAAAGATGTTTTTCCAGGAAGACATTTATTTTGATTCAGCACAGACAAAAAAGTTAAAAGTCAGGGTAAGTTCCAGCATCCTTAGTTGTCTTGTTACAGAAGCTACTAGCTTTCATAACTGACCCTTGCACCAGGTGCACAGAAACTGCTGGGTCAGGTCCAGCGTTCTCACATTGACCTTAAGTGCCATCCTGTTAAATCTTGTTATGAACTGAGATAGTGGATTTTTCTCCTGGGTCTAAAAAAGGTAAGAAGATAGGAAAGGGTGTGAGAAAGTGATGTGTTCATTCCTGTAACAAGACTTACGTAGCACTATCCTCCTGCCAGACACTGTTCTGTTCCTATTCCCAGCAAAAGTGTTGAAGAGGCTCTTTTCCTCCTGGTAAGAGGGCAGAGCACTGAAGGATGGAAGAGCAGTGACAGTAGAAGTGTAGTGGCAACTTGTTTTTATTGAGACTCTTCTACACATTGGCTCCGGTGATTTATCATAGCGAGGGAGGAATTGACTTCAGCGGTACACAGATTAAACCACATCTCTCAGCCTGCTGGTCCCCTCCTTCCTAAAGCGCTCCCTCAGTCACCCCGAGGCTCCTCCTCCAGCCCGCCTCTGCCTCACTCCTGGCAGCACAGCCCCAGGACTGGGGCTGCTTCCCCCTTCCCCAGCAGCATGAAGTTGGACAAGAGGGCACTGACTGCAGTAACACAGACCTGGTCCGAGTCCTGGATTTATCTGTCTCATTCTGGAGCACTGAGTATTTCCTGATGACACCTCCTGGGAGCGGGGGCAAAGAACATTCTGAAGTTAGAATGTGAAGCCCTTGTTACCCCAGGTGTCTGACCTCTTTATCCAGAACAGTCAGCTTCCCTCCTTTCTTACCCTGAGCCCTTTTTCTTGCCTGTCTGCCCAGGATCCTATACGCAAGAAGCACCTTGGAAGTCAGGACTGGACAGGCAGGAGCCAGGAGCGTGGCTGCAATGACTTCAGGAATCCTGGTGGACATCCAAGATGAAGTGACCTGCCCAATCTGCCTGGAGCTCCTGACAGAACCCCTGAGCATAGACTGTGGCCACAGCTTCTGCCAAGACTGCATCATAGGGAGTAGCCAGGAGCTGGGCTTCTGCCAAGAAGAGGAGAGCAGCTGTCCCGTGTGCCAGACCAGCTACTGGCCTGGGAACCTGCGGCCCAATCGGCACCTGGCCAACATAGCGGAGAGGCTCAGAGAGGTGGTGCTGGGCTCGGGGAAGCAACTGCAGGTGACTCTATGTGTACACCATGGAGAGAAACTCCAGCTCTTCTGTAAGGAGGATGGGAAGCTCATTTGCTGGCTTTGCGAGCGGTCCCAGGAGCACTGTGGTCACCACACATTCCTCGTGGAGGAGGTTGCCCAGGAGTACCAGGTGTGAGCCCAGATGGAGGGAAGACAGGCAGGAACAGAGTCCTTGTAGATCTGAACCTTTTTTTATGCTCTAATCTAACTTCTTTGTAGTTCTTTCATTTACCTAGAGGCTGAACCTAGAAAAAGAACTCCTTCCCTCCCCTTGCCAAGAGTAGAGACTTTTTTTCGTTGCCCCAGGTCAGCTCTGCATGAGTAGAGGATGCTGCTGGTGGCCAGGCGGGGGCTGGGCAGGTCGAATGCGGGGTGTATGTTGGCAGAGAGAGTAAATGACTTAAAGGGCTTCTTGGTCAAGTTCTTTTCCCCGGAGAAAAGAGAATCAGCCTATCCCACTGGCTTTCATCCCCTGTTTATAAAAGATGCTTTGGTCTTCTCAGTTTTTCACCCCAGGACAGACTTCTTCTGAGGTCAGTGTAATCTCTCCCCCATTCGTGCTGTGTCTAGGTACTGAGACAGTTTGACGCTTGACTCTGCTTGACTTGAGGTCTTTCTTCCAGGAGAAGTTCCAGGCGTCTCTGAAGAAGCTGAGGCAAGAGCAGCAGGAAGCTGAGAAATTAACAGCTGTTATCAGAGAGAAGAGGGGATCCTGGGAGGTAAGAGTGATCCTTCTGAAGGTGCCCTGGAGGGGAACCAGGGCATGTCTGTTCCCAGATCTGGCGAGAAGTGCTTCCTTGGCCCTAGTCCTTCACAACAACCCTTCCAAACAAGAGTGTTGCTCTTGGTGCAGAACCAGGGGGGAGGGAGGGAGGGTGAGAAAATGGACATATCAAAGAGAATCTAGGATTTTGAAGATAATCACATAGGAGAGGAACCATGGCCCTTGGCAGCCCCTAATTCCTGATTCTGGACCTTGTTGTACAGTTTTTTGGGGGGAAGGGTTGTGGGAGTGGGTAGGCAATTAGGTTTTTATTTATTTGTTTGTTTGTCTGTTTATTTATTTTAATAGAGGTACTGGGGATTGAACCCAGGACCTTGTGCATGCTAAGCACATGCTCTGTCACTGAGCTGTACCCTCCCCCCTCCCCCATTCTACAGTTTTGAGCTCTGAAACTTGGAAAGATAGCTCAGGCACAAGCCAATCATTCCTACCCTAATATTCAAAATTGAAAAGGGAGGCTGATGCCATGTCCTTAGATATCCCCTCTCCCTGAGGAATCAGTCTCTCTAGGAAGCCTAGGTAAGGCAGCCTGGGGCCAGTGGTCTGAGAAGAGGCAAAGGGAGAATGGAAGGAAAGGACAGATTCTGTTGGACTAAGTCCCGCATTACTCCCCATCCCCCTGTGAGACCTGGCCAGGACAGCAGTGCTGAGCCTGCCTCCCCCACCCCTTATACAGGAGACCCTCAGGCCTCTTTTTCTTCTATGTTCCTGAAGAATCAGCTGGACCCTGAGAGACGCAGGATCCAGAAGCAGTTTGATCAGTTGAGAAGTGTCCTGGACAGAGAAGAGCAGCGGCAGCTGAAGAAGCTGGAGGAGGAAAAGAAGAAGGGTCTGAGCATCATAGCAAAAGCTGAGGCTGAGCTGGTCCAGCAGAGCCAGTCCCTGAGAGAGCTCATCTCAGACCTGGAGCGCCGGTGTCAGGGGTCAACAACGGAGCTGTTGCAGGTAAGAGTCACGAAGGAGCCTGTAGTCTGTGAGTCAAGGCAAAGAGAGGTTGACTCCTTCCCTTCTGACATGGGACTGAGGTCCTGATGGAGGGAAGAAAAAAATATTCCTTTGACCCTGTAGTGCCTCTTCCCTATTAAACAGTGGAGAGTTGGTGGAGAAAGCATAGGATAACTAAAGGTACAGATGCTAAGGGAATGTCTCACTTTATCTCTTGTGTGTGAAGGATAGTCCAAAAGTAGTTCATTTGAGACTGCGGAGAAGAGCTGTTATATCGAGTGATGTTTTATAGCAACATTTCTCAATCTCAGCACTATTGACATTTTGGGCTGGAAAATTCTTTGCTGTGAGGGGCTGTCCTGTGCATCGTAAGATGTTTAGCAGCATCCCTGGCCTCTACCCCTTGGATGCCAGTAGCATCCCACCAGCTGTGACAATCAAAAAGCCTTCCAGACATTGCCAAGTGTCCTGGGGAGAACATCCCCCCCAGCCCTTGTTGAGAATCACTAGCCGTTAGGCACCTGTTGTCTTGATGCCGTGCTGGGATTTGTCGTGCTGGGTTTTTTCACCCAGCTTAGTCACAGGCAGATGCGTACTAAGCTCACTCCCGGTTTCACATCTTCATTTCATTCTTCTTTTCTTCTTCATCTTTGATGTTGGCTTTCCGTCATGCTTGCTCCTTCCAGTACTCGTTCTAGCCCCTTCACAGATTCCTCAAGCTGGAAAAATGGCTTTATAAGTGCAAATGGATCATCCATTTATACAATAGCAAGTTCAGGCACCTGTTGCCTCTTACACCCACTAATAAGGCTGCCTGGTGGTCATGTGAACTTGAGTGTTACCTCACAGTCAGTTTTCCAGAACTTGCCCATCACAGACACATTCCTCCTTCTCTTTTCCACCTCTGTTGAACAGTTATTGCCCGTTAAGATTTGACAGCTGAATGCAAGCCTGCAGCTTTCGAGTTTCAAAGTGTAAACCCTAAGAATAAAGCCAAGAGGAGTAGGCACGAAACAGTATCCTGATCTGATCATTTGAGGTCCTTATTACAGCCATGCCTTAAGAGGATGTAATGCTGGGTATTTGGTGTAAGTTGACATATCTACCACCTCTACTGCTTTGCATGTTCAAGCCGGTTAGAGTTGTGTTTTTGTTCAAATGCAACCAAAAATAACCCCGATACCATGAAATGGTTGTTCCTATGTTATATAGATCAAACCATTGGCCTTTTCTTCTGATGCACTGAGGTGTATAGAGCAGAAGTTAGGAAGACCAATTAGGAGGCCATGAGACAGCTCCACTCAAATGAGGCCGGCAGTGGCAGTGATGATGGGAAAGCGGAGGTGGCTGCAAGGATTCAGGGGTGTGAAAGAGGTTGACGTGGTCTAAGATGGGACCTCAGGATGAATATAAAGTAGTTTTTAGGACAGTACTTTGTTTACATCTGGTCCCTGGACGCTGGTATCAAGGAAGATGGAAGATAACAGAGGAGACCTCGTGGTTGCAGGAAAGGTAAGTTTTATTTTACACATCTTGAGGTCATGGTGTCCGTGGCTCATTTGCTGGGGTGTATAAAAGAGATGCAAGCAGAAGCACAGATTTGGGAACCATCAACACATGTGTTTTGAGATCAAGAAAAATATGTGAAATCAGCAAAGCTAGCACAGAGGATTAGGGGAGGTGAGGTTTGAGAGAACCATGTTTAAGGCCCCTGTATCCTTAGCAACCAGAATGTAAGCATCTTGAGGACAGAAATTAGGACTTACTCACATGAGAGCCTCTAGGGCCAGACATAGTGCCTGGCAAATAACCGATGATGTACACTTGTAACATTACACACACACACACACACACACACACTGATGTAAAATTAAAGGCATTAATGAATGAATTGAATCATTTCCTGACGTCCCTACTTGGAGTCTCAGGGACAGTCTGCTCTGAGTTCTTAGCTCTACTCTGTGGCCTCCATTACTGGGGCCTAAGTCTCCCCATCATACCAGGGGGTGGTGGGGTGGGGGCAGGACAAGGGACATGCATGAGTGAGGCTGTATTAGAGGACGAGGCCTATTACTCCTTGACTTAACCTGTCTCTTTCTTCCCTAGGATGTGAGTGATGTCACCAAAAGGTATGTGTAGGAGAACATGAGTGGGAAAGGACAAAATATAGTCACAAGGCAGGGAAGATTTTAGGCGTATGGTGCCTTGAGTTGCTTATCATGAGAACTTTGGGGGTCCCAAAAGTAAAAGGAATGGCTTGGTTTCGAGGGTAGGAGAATTTGGGTAGTGAGAGGTCACAAATTGGGGACAGTAGTGCCCTTAAGAGTCAAGGGCGGCAGCTCATGATGGAACTCCTTTTCCACAAACCTCTGAACCTGCTTCCAGCCCTGATACCAGTTGTTCATAGCTACCTCAGAATTCACAGGGATTTTCTTTGCCCACATATTTTTTCAGAGGGAAATTTCCCATCTGCAGCGTTTCCCGGGGCTCAGGAATCAGCTCTTGGGACACCTGCTTAAATCTCCCTTCCTCCCTTGGCTTTGAAACAGTCCACGCCTTGCTACCTAGTCTTCCTCAGACTTCTGTTTTTCTCAATTCCAGTAACAACATAGACCTGAGATCTTGAAAAGAATGACTTTGGCCTTGGAACAAAAACACGTTCTCTATCACATACTCTAGAATTTCATTCAGTCAAGGTGACATCTAAATTTGCCCACATACCTGGTTCCCATAAGGTCCTCACAAACACGTGACCTTAGAGCCTGTGGTCCCTTTTGAAGTCTTCACTCTCGGTGTGGAGGTGAGGACATCTCCTTTCTCCAACTGGCATAATAGTCCTGGAGACAGTGAGTCCTAAGAGGCTGTTCTGGGGGTCTTTCTCCCTAGGCTTCTATGAGACCTTAAGACCTAAACCAGAGACCCTTCAGAAGGGAGCCCTTCACCTGGTACTCTCCAAACCCCAGCAACGGGTCCTGATGTTCGGGTACCTGTAGACCCTCTAAGAGGGCACTGACATTTTAAGTATTTTGTATCTTTTTCGGGGTTAGCAAAGGATTTCCCAGCCATTATTTTATGTAATATTATACAGTCTCTGGGATGGAGAGAAAGAAGGGAAAATTACCATATTTTTACAAAACAACAACAAACCATACAAAGAAACAAAAATGAGGCTTTGAGGGATAAATCTGATCAACTTTTTTTTTTAATTGACGTATAGTTGATTTGCAATAGTGTGTTAGTTTCAGGTGTACCACATAGTGATTCAATATTTTTATAGGATTATACTGCATTTGCAGTTATTATAAAATATTGGCTATATTATTCCCTGTGCTGTACCAAAGACATGTACACACCAGTGTTCATCACAGCACTATTTACAATAGCCAAGATGTGGAAGCAGCCCAAGTGTCTATCAACAGATGACTAAATAAAGAAGATGTGATATGTGTATACAATTGATTATTACTCAGCCATTAAAAAAAATGAAAATCTTATCAATGTTTACACAGATGATGAGAAGCTAGTTTTTAGTCCCGGTCTTCTGGCTCTGGTGCCAGGGCTCTTTGCAGAATGATGCTAAGTTTCTTCAGGAAAGAATGTTGAAGTTCACCAGTGGGCCTGGGAGAGGAGGGAGACAGTTGTTAGAGGAACCCAAGGTCAGCAGTGTTGGAGATTCATATTGTCTGTTCTCTCCAGGAGTGAGTTCTGGACCCTGAAGAAGCCAGAAGCTCTCCCTACCAAGCTGAAGAGTGTGTTTCGAGCCCCAGATCTGAAAAAGATGCTGCGAGTGTTTAGAGGTGAGGACATACAGGAAACAGAGTTTGGATGGGGGATTGTTATACTAGTAAGAAATAAAAAGAACAGAGGGTATGGGGGAGATTTGGGAAGAGTGGCAAAAGAGAGAGATGGAGATGGAGGGACATAATAATGCACAGAAGAAGATGCAGTTCAGACTTCAGGGGGAATGAAATGGCCAGCTCACATCCTCACAGAATTCCCTGCTGCACCCCTCAAGCAGGTAAGGGGAGAGAGAGCGGACCTGAGACGGCTGGTTCTATATAAGTGACTGACTCTTTGTCATTACAGAGCTGACAGATGTCCAAAGCTACTGGGGTAAGTAGCAGTCGTGACCTCTTTGAGCTGATGTGTTCTTATTCTCCCCAAACAGACCCCCACACACGCTCAGGTGCGAGGTGTTGCTAGCTGCCTGCCCCTCCCCCAGACCCACCACCGCACAGCACCTATTCCTCCCACCCACACCCTGCGTATCCTCTCCTCAGAGTCGTAAGACCCACACATCCGTGCTCACCTGCTGGTGTTGTGCCTTTTGCTCACAGTGGACGTGACTCTGAATCCACACACGGCCAACTTAAATCTCGTCCTGTCCAAGAACCGGAGGCAGGTGAGATTTGTGGGTGCTCAGGTGTCCGGGTCTCACCTGGAAGAGCATCATGCCTGTGGTGTCCTGGGCTCTCAGCACTTCTCCTCAGGGAAGCATTACTGGGAGGTCGATGTGACCAAGAAGACCGACTGGATCCTGGGTGTGTGCGGTGATTCTGCAGGACCTGCATTCTCTTTCAGCCAGTTTGCCCACAGTCGGAATGTGTACTCCCGATACCAACCTCAGAGTGGATACTGGGTGATCGGGTTACATCATAAACACGAATACCGAGCCTACGAGGACTCGTCCACTTCCCTGCTCCTCTCCATGACAGTGCGTCCCCGCCGTGTTGGGGTCTTCTTAGACTATGAGGCTGGCACGGTCTCCTTTTATAACGTCACCAACCATGGCTTCCCCATCTACACCTTCTCTAAATATTACTTTCCTACCACGCTTTGTCCATATTTTAATCCCTGCAACTGTGTAGTCCCGATGACCCTGCGTCGCCCAAGTCCTTGAACTTTCTGCTGTTCGCACCCGCATCCGAGCAGTACCCTGTACTCTGGGGCTCACCTGCATTTGTCTTTCCTTTTTTACCTTCAATTTCCTTGTGTTATCACTCCTTTCCCTTTGAACATTTACTCAATGCTGGAGTTGAGTAACCCAACAGTGATAGTGAACATCCTTGACTGATTAATTACAGATTGTGAGATGGGTGAGGGGACACTTTCAACAATTTACCATTAAGCATGGTGTTTGATGGAGATTTTTCTTTGCTGAGGCATGGAATCAAATTTAGGAAGTTCTCTCCTATTAATTTGATGTCAATTTTTGTACTGAATGGAAAATTGAAGTTCAATAGACGTTGTCTCTAATTATTGAGATAATCAGATGTCATCTTTATTCTATTATTGGAGTACATTGATTTGTTTCAGTTTCTAAATCCAATACAGATTTCTGAAATAAACCACTACTGTTTATGTGCAATACTGGATTCGTTTGTGCTAATACATTGTTTGGGTTTTATTTTCATCTCCATTTATGAAAGAAATTGACCTGTAATTTTACACTCTTGTAACATCGTTGTCAGGTTTTGTAAAGTGCAATACATGAGAAAAAAATTGCTGTATTTTTGTACAAGTATGTAGAGAATTGAGTGCTATAAACCATTATAGTGTTAATTTTCATAGCTTTAAATTTGAATTAGTGAGATTCTAACTTCCCTTTTCTAACTACAATCTTCATGGATCTTAAAAACCTAAGGTAGTAAGTGGAAAAAAAAATGTTTTTTTAATCTTCCAAATACCTTGAAGTGAAAACAGAAAAGAGGAAAATGATCAATTCGATACAGATTTTTTTTCTCCCAGAATGGGAGGAAAATGTAAAGAGAAAATGGTTAATATAAAGCACTTTTAGGAAGAGAATGATTTCTTTTAACTCTTGTACCTCCTTTTTTTTTTTTTTTTTGTACCTCCTTTTCTTCGTACTCAAACATGAACAGCTCGTTAATGAGCTGCTTTGACTTTGGTAGAGAGGTGCTACATGCTTTTTGAGCCAACTATAAAAGAAATGAGGTGGATGTGAAGGTGGAAATGAAAGTCAAGGAGTTGACTAGAGCTGGCTGTCCATCATGGTAGCCAGGAGCCGTCAGTGGCTGTTGAGCACCTCAGACGTGCCCAGTCAGAATTGGGATGCACTGTACGTATAAAATGCACACTGGATTTTGAAAACTTAGTTCAAAAAATAAAGTAAAATACCTTGATAATAACTTTTATATTGTTGATTGCAGCGATAATACCTTGGATATATTGGATGAAATAAAATATATATTAACTTTACCTGCTTCATTTGATTTTTTGGAAGTAGAGACTAGAAAATTTTTAATTACATATGTGACTGACATTGCATTTCTATCAGATACTTCTTCCTGTAATGCAATTTTATCCCCAGGGGTCCTAGTGGAAGGCAGAGATGTTTATTTCTAGAGGGACTCCCTGCCCCTCAGAGGCATATCTGTAGCAGAAGATAATGGCAGGGAGAATTGGATCTCAGTACATCTAGAAATTCACAATTTGGAAGATCACAGGAAGAGTTCATGGCCAGAGCGTATGACTGCCTTGTCTGGTCCCTATCTTCAGCCCTTAATCTGTTGGACACTTGGCATTCCTTCATGGTTTAGTTCATCCACTGGGCTCGGCGCTGGTGTCTGATGAGATAAAGGTTACAGCCAAAGCCCAGGACTGGTTTGGTCTAGGGTAGGGTTTTGTTTGGGAGGCAGAGGCCAAATGCACACTCCTCACCCTAATTTGCACTTCAATTGGAAGAAATGTGAAAGGAGAGAGAGCAGGCAACCCAGTGTTCGTGGAGCTGGTGGAAGCTGGGGGATCAGAGGTGATGGTTATGAGAATCTGAGTAATTGCTCCCTTCCCACTTATTTTCTCATATAATAAATTCCAGGCAAAAGGAGTTGGCTTAGCTGTCCGCTACCTGCGGAGGTATCAGTGGATGACCTCAGATAATATGGAAAGACAAAGTACTTGCTAGAACCGTGTAGGTGAGATGTGGGGAAGTTTGCTCAATCCGAGATTTGGGGGAGAATTAAATTCCTTGGAATGAGTTTGCAGCCCTGACTTCCTCCTAGGCCGTTGGGGGATTTGGGCAGAGGCCTGCTGGCTTTGATGGTTTTGCAGTAGATTGAACTGCTATGAAAAAAGTATATTCAAAAGTATATAGTGAATCAGATACTAAAGACATTAATTTCTTTTTCATGTAAAAATCTGCTATGAGTGCAACTAGCAGGTGAGTGGCACTGTTCCCTGTGGGATTCAGAGTCCAATATCTTTTATTTTTTAATCTGTGACTCCTCCATTCCCTAGGACAGTGTTCTCAGCATTCAGCCAGCAGAACGATAAAGAAAACAGAAGGCAATTTGCCTCCTAAATCTTTAGTTAATATATGGGATTCATAATTTCTGCTCATTTTCTGTTGCTGAGAATAACCAGGTGGACTCATCTATCTGCAAGGAAGATTGTAGAAATGTCTAGCCATACCCAATTATGTACAACCGAATTTCAAAGGAAGGGAAACACAGATTTTGGTGGAGACCTAGTGGTCTATTACACAGATCCCAGGAGTGCCTGGAACTTTAAGGAACTCCTTTTTCCCATCACAGAAAACCCAGAGTCTCTGCTTTAGTTTCTGGGGCTGTGGTTGTTCTGTCCTGTGGACTAAGGCTCATAAAGAAAAGAGAAGAGTAATGCTGTCACCACAGCTCTAGGCAAGTGGTGTAATTGTCCTGACACCTCCCAAGCTGGCTCGCTAGGGCCGGCATTTACACTTGATTCTAGTTTAAAGGGAATCTGGGGAGTTGGGGGGAAGGAGCTTCTAAAGTATCTTCATTGTGGTTTACTGACATACAGTAAATTGCATAAAGTATACAATTTGATGAGTTTTGACTTGTGAAACCATCATCACCATCAGAAAAAGATATCCACCCCCCTCAAAAGTTTCCCCTGCTCCTTTGTAATACCTCCTTTCTGTTCCCTCCCCTAACCCCATCTTCTAGCAAACCCTGTTCTGTGTTTTGTCACTATAGTTTGCATTTTATAGAGTTTTATATAAATGGAATCATACAGGATTACTGCCTGGTTTCTTTTATTCACCAGGTTTTTGCATATATCAAGAATCTACTCCTTTTAATTGCCAAATAGTATTCCATTGTGTGGATATACAATAATTTCATTCACCTATTGATGGAAATTTGGGTTGCTTCTAGTTTGGGGCCATTACAAATATGGCTGTTATAAACATTTATCGTAGAATTTTTCCAATGAGCATATGCTTTCATTTCTTGGATAAACACCTAGTAGTAGTGGAATAGGTTATATGGGAGATACTATATAGGTAATTTTTTTTGAAAATGCCAAACAATTTTCGAAAGTGATTATACCATTTTATGTCTGCCCTATTGGTGCAGAAGTTGCTCTGCATCCTTGCCATAATCTGGTTTGATCGGTCTTTAATTTTATTTAAGCTCTTTTTTCTTGTGATTTTGGCTGTTTGCACTTTTTTTAGGTTTTTAAATTTTTATTATTTTAATTTTAAATGTTCTAATAGATGTGTAGTGGGATATCTCACTGTGGCTTTAATTTGAATTTCTCTAAAGCCTAGGGATGTTTAGCTAGCTTGCTTGCTTGCTTTCTTGCTTGCTTTCTTTTTTTCTTTCTTTCTTTGTCATCTGCATAGCTTCTTTGATGAAATGTCTTTTCAAGTCTTTTGCTAATTTTTTAAAAAAATTGGATTGCTTATTTTCTTGTTACTGAGTTTGAAGAACTTTTTATACATTCTTGATATAAGCCCCTCATTCTGTATCTGCCTTGCATATATCATCTCCCGGTATGCGCTTTGCCTATTCATTCTCTTAATAGTCTTTCAGAGAACAGAAGTTCTTAATTTTGATAATGTCTAACTTAGCAAATTTTTCTTTTATGGGTCATGCTTTTGATGTTTTATCTAAGAACTTTTTCCTAACAAAAGGTCATGAAGAATTTTTCCTTAGTTTTCTTCTAGATATTTTATATAATTTGGATTTTATACTAAGTCTATGAACCACTTTGCAATTTTGTTTTTTAAGTAGTGCAAAGTAGGAGATCAAAATCCATCTCTTTGTATTTGGATCCAGTTTTTCCAGCACTATTTTTTTTGGAGGGGGGGACAATAGGTTTATTTATTTACTATTATTTTTTATTTAACAGACGTACTGGGGATCGAACCCATGACCTCATGCATGGTAGGCATGTGCTCTACCACTGTGCTATACCCTCCCCCCCATTCCAGCACTATTTGTTGAAAAGATTCTCCTTTCCCACTGAATTGGCTTTACACCTTCATCATGTCTCAGTTGATCATATGTATGTGAGTCTATTTCTGGACTCTCTTCTTTTCCATTCATCTACTTGTCTATCTTTGCATCAATATTGTATATATTGATTACTGTGGCTTCATAATAAGTCTTGAAATAAGTTAGTATAAGTTTTCTAACTTTTGGTTCATTTTCAAATTTGCTTTGTCTCTTCTGTCTTTTGTATTCCTATGTGGTGCTGTGCCTTGGTTGACCTCATTGTGATCTCCCTCCTTATGGCCTTTTATTCATTCATCTATCCTAAATTTTCTGAATGAATACTGGCATCCAAGAAGACAAAATGGAAGTTACAAGGTCCAATACCCTGAATTTCACACATCACTTCAAACCTATTCTGTTGGTCAAAGCAAGACAAAAGTCCACCTCATATTCAGGGTGCTGGAGAACAGACTACACCTCATGTATGGGGGATGCCATGTCTGTACAGCAGACGGAAGAATGATTGGCAGCCATTTTTGCAGGTACTCAGCCACATGTGATACACAATCAGATTGACAAAGTTCAAAAGCTTGACAACATACTCTGCTGGCAAAATTATGAGAAAAAAGGCACTCATATTTTGCTAGTAGCAATCAAAAATGGTGCAGTCACTGTGGAGGGAATCTTCAATAACCAATAAAACTATAAATGCATGTACTCTTTGACCAAGGTAATTGCACTGCTAGTAACTAACCATGAGACTTATTAGCAGAGCTATCCAACTGAAGAAGAGAGAGAGAGAAAAAAAAGAACAGAGAGAGAGAGAGATTCTCCATACTGATGAAACCGTATCAAAATATCTAACATATGTGTGGTTGGGAACATAAAATGAAATGAGAGAGAGAATGAGACAGAAAAAAACTTTTGACAATAATAACTACTGAAATTTTCCAAATTAGGCACAAATCATAAATTTAGAGATTCAAAAAGCTCAGTGAACCTGAAAGAGGATAAAAGCAAAAAAAAGTATGCCTGGCTACATCATACTCATACTGAAAATTAAGATAAATTGAAAAATCTTAAATGCAGCCAAAGGAGGCAGGGGAATGAAATACAAATGTCCAAGGTAATCAAAACGCACACCTCTTCTACGAGTTATTCTGCAGGTACATGTCAATTCCCTTTGTTAACAGGTAAGTGTTACTACCTGTGAAATGTGAAACTTATGAAAACCCAGGGGATGAATGTAACTTCCATGCACTTTTTTTTCAAGAGGAGCCAAATTTTACAAATCATTGCACATGTTTATTATAAGCCTTCACATTCCTGGTGAAAACATGGTTCACATTCATTAAAATGGAACTGTAG